TTCCACGACCGTGTAGGCATGTCACACGGTCGTACCATGTCGTACCACGGTGAAGCTGAAGCTTCCCAGGGTTTATTACAAACCAACATCAGGACCACGGTGGATCTGGAACTCGCACTCCTAGCCTCCTGTGTTGCAGAGATTCATTTGTCGTGTCCATGCAGGCCTGCTAGTATGAAACGACTGACATCAGCTGTATCTGCTTTACACGCATCTCAGCAGTAGTAATTAACGAGAAGCCCGTAACGTGTCACCTTGCAGGGCTGGCTCTAACTAGCTCACAGCCTCGCACAGGTGGGAGCTCCAGGAGAACGGGCGTCAAAAGCACGAGAGATCAGTCTGTGCAGCGTCCATCGCAGTCCGCGTGCAGTCGTCTGCTCTCCTTTGTGCCGAGTCGCTCTCCTCCAAGCAGAGTCTCCGCGGACTGCGCCTGCCCTGCGCCTGCAGGAGCCTCGGCTCCCGTGGAGTCCATGGTGCCTGGACCCCAGCGAAGCCCAAAGCAGAATGGCTTTTATGCCTGGTTGGGGGGGGGGGGGGGGGCGCTTCGCACTACTAAGTATTATACGAGTTCTTGCATGTGCCTTTCCTTAACAAGTTCTCCCCTGAGGCTTGTTGAGATTATCTTCAAGGGCAAGAAGAAGGCGGCAAAGCACAAGGCGGCAGCACAAGAGCAGCGGAGGGAGGCATGGGTCGGAGGCTTTCGAAAGCCCAGGCCTCCACAAAGATCTCGGAGCTGCAAAGCCTGTGCGCCCCGGAAGTGAGCGGATGCAAGGCCCCGGCCAAATCCCCCTAAGCCGCGGAGAGTAGACCCGTTTCTCAGAGGTGGACTTCAGATCCTCGGAAGTCAAAGCCTGTAATCACGCGACGAGCAGGTACGAGCAGCGCATCCGGGCAGCAGATACTAAGCTCGGAGCACTTCGTGCTAGGGGCTGAGCTGAGCAGGGTGACCTCGGTTAGTAGATGCATTGGTCATGCTTGTACCGAAAAAAGGGCAGGGGCTAAGGAGTATGCAGAGTGTTTGGAGGATCTCTGGTATGTGACTCAAGCAGGTATCCTCGCGTATGCATCGGATTGCTGCTGACCGCAGAGGAACCACACTTTTCCCGTACTCGCCTTCTGACCGAAGCTGTCCCAGGTCTGCGATGAGAATGGAGTGGAGCAGGGAAGCGAGGCCTTAGCACACGAGTGTGCCAGCATGTAATTCCTTTGGGACCACGAGGACGAGAGGGCAACGACGACCACACCTGGCAGTCCCTGGGTCGATTTCAACCGCTCCTAAACTTCACCAGTGAGAACTGCGACGATATGCGGCGATAATTGAACGCAGTCCTCGCAGCTTCTCTAGAGATTACCATCTGCTCCCCATCATCGTTCTCAAGAGGTTCATCGACTCCTGGTTTGTCATGTGCATGACAAATATTCGAGATACTACGGCCAGTGGCGGATACCGCAATGTTGGATAATGGCTCCGTTATCGCCGCTGTCTCAGATTATGTCCAAACTGCACGACAGAACACGATCTCCAACGACCACCACGACAACCACAACAATCATGACCACCCCGACCACCACGGCGACCGGCAGCACGAACCCCACCCATCCCACCAGACAATGTGATAGCGGCGCGATTTGCCACACGCGGCCCTGTGGCGGGGGAGCACAAGTCCCGCCCAAAAATGTGAGCAGGACTGGCGAGAGCTTGATTGAGCACAGTGTCGGCACGAAAAATGGACTGCAGCGGGAAGAGGGTGCATCCAAAGTATGGACGGCAGAATCGCCGGGCAAATAGTTTGACGCTGCGAGGACTTTAGGGGCTTCCATCGCCTCCAAGGCAAAAGCTGAGCACCGGTTTCCATCAAAAGACACGCACTTGACTGTGGCGGGCGCACGACTCATCAAGTTGGAGAAGGCCACTTCTTGGACTGCACTATGAATGGCGCAACTCCGGAGGACGGGGCTCCAGCAGGACTGTGGAAAGACAGCGTGTTTTCCCACAAATGCGCGCCGCACTACATCCGCGGGAGCCTCGTGCACAAATGAACCATTTCTGATTTACTCCGAACGTAACAATAACTTGATGCACGTGACCGCACCGCTTGGGGAGCAATCTGCTGGGGTGATCTGGCAAAGCGTCAAAGACAGGGAGACAGGAAGAAATATCACTCACCATCGCAAGTTGTTCAGAGATTGGTTCATGTCATTCCTTGTTTTCTCCTGTTGCCCCATTGTTTGATGAAAGCTTGCCGCTTGCGGGTCTTGACGAAGCCGCCGTGCTCTAGAAAGAGATCATGCCGAAAATAGCACAGTTTGGAGCACTGGCATAAGGGGGCCCTCCTCTAACAACAGCCCTGGTATGAACGCAAAAAGCATCGCAGGTACCACAGTGAACCATGTACAAGCTCTCGGGGCACTTCTTGTCAAAACCATTGCAGCCAGACTTTTGAGAAATTCTTTTCCGAGAGATCCATCCCGTTTATCCAAGTTTCATGTGATTCGCAGCGCACCATGCTTAACCAGGATTCAAGCGTGAGAGCTCCAAGATGTTTGGCTCTGCAGCGGAGGGTCCCCAAAGCCCGTGTGTTGGCTTGAGCTCTTCTGGATACGAGGAAGCGACTGCGCTCGCAGGTCACTTTGGGCCTTCTCCGAGATTCCTCGGGTGGCGAGGGCGCCGTCAAGTGGCTACCTAAGCCCGAAACAGTTTCGAACTTCAAGAAAGGGTTTGATGGGTTCTCTCTCAATTTCTTTCCGCGCTGGCCTTGCCCATCTGGCAAAGAGCCCACGATGCCGCCTGAAGGCCAGGGAAGGTCCTTGGAAGGCACAGATTGAAAATGGATGGCCATGGCTCTCGGCTTTCCTGGGAGAGGGTCTTTCGCTGTAGCCGTGCACCCGAGCCAAAGACTAAACAAATCTCCCCTAGGCCCTAGACTGACAGCTGACTAGTTGCAGCTCCTACGCACCCACAAGAAATCCTGGTTCGACGGCCCGCAAAAGTTTGCTCCAAGCGGGTTGCTGATCAAGCATTCGGGTTTGACAGAACCAGGTGTAGCCTCGCAGGCAACAATTGGCAGCACACCAGTCACCGGTCCAGCGCTGCAGGCTTGTCTTCGAAGAGGACGATTGGTTCAGCTGATTACGTGGACTGCAACTCTGAGCGGTGCCTTTTTGAGTCTGCAGATGTTCCTGGAGGTGCAAACTCCAGAACATGATTGCAGATTGCTCGATCGAGTCTCTTTGAGGCATGCAGCCATGCCTTCGGTCGTGCTGCCGATGCGATCGTTCGACCACCAAGAAAGAAGAAGCTGACACGTCTTTATGTACACCCATGATTTCCATCTGCTTCCATCTTGGGGCTGGTTCTACACAGGACCACAGGACGGTAGCAAGTTCAGCGAACACAAGCTCAAACTCGGCGGTGTGTGACAACTGTCACACGTAGACCTGTTGTAGCTCCTGACCTGACTATTGTCAAGCCAGCCCTTGTGCCACATGTCCGGATTTTAGGCTTCATCGATTCGGAGACCAGGCAGCCAGCTGCACACCGGCAGTGCCTTCATCAGTCTGGTCTTGTGTGCTTCGAGGTCCTCCGTCAATCCTATAAGCATGACCAGTGATCCCTACACCTGCACATGTTGTCCGCAGCGTTGCACTGCACAGGCCCAAGCGGACGTTACTCATAGATCGTTGCTGCAACGGAGCATGACACATCTCGACATGGTGATGACATGCATGCATGGAAGTCACGCTACTTGGTCCTTGGTGGGGCCCACAGCCCCGACAGCCTCGAAGCAGCTTCATACGCTTACCCTTAGCTGGACCCCACCGAAGGCTGGTATCCCAGGAAGCAAAGACTTCAGGGTTGGCCTTCGTGAAAAACCACGACCACAGTGACCACAGCTCTCGCCTCGCTGGCCCGGGGCTCGGGTGATGGAAATTGATTCCCCAGAATAGAACTTAACTCAAACTTAGTACCAATTCATTTCAGACGTATGTTCCTTTACCAATCTCAATTGCGCAGGGCGGCTCGCGAAGACTGCTGTAGATTGCTTGTTCCGGGTTGGGGCTTGTAGGTGATGCCAGGTGCTGCCTCTCTCCAGACCGCTGCAGATAGTTTGGCCGATGCCCGTACTCGGTGAAGCTACTACGACAAGTAAGCTTAGGGGCGTCGTCACGTGATTTGGCCGGACCTTACGGGTGCACCACAAGACCAACCCAGTTCGGACTCTCCCTCCTTCCTCCTCTCTCCCTCCCTCGCCTTCTCCCTTCTCCCCATTGAGGGATGCTTTTGCTTATGTGTTGGTTTCGCACCAACGAGGAAACGTCGAAGCTTCAGTACGATGCAATCATTTCAGTCATGCACTCGACTAGGGCGACATTGTACCACTGTCACAAGGAGTTCAGTTTCCAGCTCACTAGGCCCCATCGTATCATCCTAGGCGACTTGCCAGCCAATTATGAACGTTTACCAATTTGACATTTTTCTGTCGGATGGGATCGCAGTTTCTAGCGTGCCTGCAGATATGAAACTTGGAATCTCACATGTTGCCCGTTGTTTGGATGAGGGCGGCTCCTGATTAGACCCCCGCCAACCTCGGGAAAGACATGCGGTGCATGCTCGAAAGTTACAAAGGACCTTCCTACGCATACCGCCAACAAAGCGAAGCAGTGGTAGGCCAATTATGAATCCAGTATGTTTAATGGTTTTCTGTTGCGCACTTGTGCACTGACGCGGCTCCCGAATACTAAAACTAAAGCTGCCAGAGCAAGTGATTCCGTATCACCTCCGGACTCCGGATCTACGACAAGGAAGGGCTGATCGACTTGATGTGGATTGGTTTGTGCAATTCTGAATTCAGCTTGCAGTGCTCGTGCTAGTTCGTAAGATCTGCTTGCTGGGCACTTCATGCATCCCCGCTGCCAGATGGCTCTTTGACGCGTTCGGTGCTCTTGCAGGGCCTGGATCAGGACTGAAGATGTCCAAAGGGTAGTTCTCGAGCACAGCAATGGAGCCCTGTTGGGAGCGGCTTGATCCGCAAGAGGCCTGAAGCGAAGAGAGGAAGGTTTTCAGATGGGGCGAGCTCAGAGGCGGTCTGGCGGGCTCTGGAGCCGAGCCCTCATCCGAGGTACCGGGAGGTGAAAGTCCGCCGCTTCGAGCGCGGGAAGCACCAGATCCCTTTCTTCAGCGAGTGCCTAGAGGCGTGATGGCGAGGGCTGTGAGCCTTGAGCGTCAAGGTTCTCTCCGATGAGCGTGGACGTGGATCGGGGTGGCCGCTTATAGCCTTTCTAGCAGAGCAGGTTCGGAATGTGGGATGCTCCTTCAGCCGGAAAAAGGCGTTCAAAAAGAAAATTCTCTCTCTGATGCGCCCCGGAAGCCGCAAGCAGTTCGGCGGAGGCCGGAGCGCGCCGTTTCGTTTGCTGCTCCAAGGGCTCAGACTTTGCAACACCAGCTGGGCAGGCAGCTTGGATTGGTGGAGGCATGTGGAGCCTAGGGCACGAATCCCTGTCAGCCTCTGTCAGCCCAGGACTTTCATTGGATTGTGGCTGTGGAGCCAGGCACGGGCAACAAGGTGCTTTTTTGACTTTGAGAAGCGGACCACGCCATGCTGCCATGGCCCTCAGGACAGGGTGTCATCGTCGCCTCCATCCAGACACAGTTCTGGGTATTCGAGTCCGACTCTGCTTTCCTAACCCATGGCTCCTTGACAGAGATTCCGTCAGCATGATCAGCACAAGCGTGCAAAGGCGACAGATAGTCAGAATTCAGAATTGTCCGGGCATGCCAAGACGAGCATTGCAGCCAAACAGCTTCCTCCTGCACCTCATGCTCTTCTAGCCTGCTCAAGTAGACTCCAAAGGGGAAAGCCTGGGAAGACTCCGAAGGGGAAAGGAGCAATTTAGAGCATCCCTCGGAGGCTGGCTAGAGGCTTCGGATCCCACGCCATTGTGCCTGCCTGCCGATGCGGCAGAGTTTCTCGCTGTGAGCTTCTCGGTCTCTTGGGGGTGAGAGCGGGCCATGACCATGCCCTGCAGGGCTGAGAATGAGAGAGCATTGCGGAAGCTCTTTGAACTTTGAGAAGCCTCGTGTCTGGATTCAGCGCAGTGCTGTCATTGCATGCCAGAATATCGGTCATGCATGCGTCTCTGCTCATGCTACCTATAGGTGTATCTTGTGTCTATATGTAATGCTGCGTATAAGTGTCCCACACCCAGCCCAGCCACCCAGCCACGCACCCCGCCGGCACACCGGCGCTCCGATGCACCGGACGGCAGAAGACGAAGAAGACGTCATCTTAAGAAAGCTTTGCCGCACATCCAGCTCCTTTGTTGAGGCTTCTCTTTGGAGGACTCGGCTTCTGACGAGCCTTGGCTGTGTAGTCAGTTCCATTCAGGGTCGAGACGGCCGTTCGCCTTTGATCATAGCTAATATTGCTTTCGATGCGTGCACACGTTTTGAGCCTGAGAGCCTGAGAGGCTTTCGTGCCGGAGGTAGAGGAGTTGCCAACGCAGCTGCAGGATTGATTTGTTTACCGTCGGTTTTCGTGGTCGGGACAAGGTTTGGGTCTCCACGTGTACTAGCACTTCCCTTTCCGTGTTTTGTACTGGTCATTGTTGCAGTGATACATGTGTCGATGTCGCACTTGCCGCTGGCCGAATGTCTTTGCCAGGAGATTTGGGCGCATCAGCCAAAAAGCCCGAATGTTGAATGACCTTGCAAACAGCAACGCGAAATCCCACCAGCTTTTCCCAGCTTGTTTACATGTGTTGCGAGCCAGTTTGTCGTGGGACAGGATGCCTACCACAAATTCTACGAAGCCTACAGTTCCTGAGAATGCATTGTTGTTGCACTGCCACCAGCTTCAGTTTTCGCGATATTTGCCGTGCAGTTGAGGGTGCTTCCATCCAGCAATGGTTCGTTTTTCAAGGTCGTCGAAAGTGGCAGGTACACAACATCGTATCATCATTGGTGTCTTGGGAGCGATGTCGAGTGGCATGCAGGTTTAAGCTTGATTATGATTCTGGCAGTAGCCTCTTGTTGGTTGGTGAATGCCATGGCCGTACATGCCGCAGCCTTGAAAGGCTTCGTGGACGGATACCAGTTGTCCTATGAGGCGCAGGGCATCTCGGACTTTTGCTATGTTTCTTTTGCCGCCTATTGGCACCATGCGGATGACAAGAGTCCACATAGAGCAATCGGCTATTCTTGTCAACTAGATGGAAAGGGTAGCTCCTGCGACGAACTTGGGTTTACGGATCATCCATTGCATGTCGTTGCATGTTGGTGTGGTCGGAACGACATGGGGGAAGGGACGCCACTCGTCACAGCGAAGATACGGCGTGTGGGCACACGGTCAGATCTTTGTTGCCTGTGTAAGCTTCACAGTCAAAGATGGCGAGATCACCGCTATTCAGCAGCTAAGGTGGCTGCACGACGTCTGCGCTGACCTACGGAGAGAGTCACTTCGCGCCCATATACCGCCTCCTGAGCATACTCCAGGTGTATTGGACAGCTGACACAACAGTCTATCGGCACTTCCAAATTTGATATGTCCATGGGTGAGACCCTGCAGGTGGAGGCGACAGCCGGTGATTTGCTTGTTGACCTCGGAAGTGGTTTCTCGGGTCGCAATGATATGTTTTTTTTCAAGCTTCGCAAAAAGCAGGCACCAGGCGATCTTCTCGCACCATAAGCAAGCACGTAACCCTCCCGCGTTCAGTTCCGGCAGCCCAGTCACAAGCAGCAGCAGATTGTCCATAGTATAGAGGTTTGGCCTCATGCAGTGCAGTTGGTGATACTGGCAACTCCGTTTAAAGAGGCCTTTTTCTCTCCACGATGCCTGTTGAGGCAAGTGGGGTCCCTTCGATATATATATATATGTATATAAGCATGATAAATGCCATACATACTTGGTGCGGCTTTTGGGTTTGGGTTTGGGGCTTTCGGGAGTTTGTAAAGCAACATGTCGGCCATGCCAATCGAAATCCTCGTACTAGCTGAACCATGTCGTTTGCCAGCTCTTGCTGATTTTGTGGCGGAGAAACCTGGGTTCATCCAATGAACATCCGAAGCATAATTGGAAGCGAACGCTTCGTGATTCACCTTCCGAAGTGCGAGGCACGGGCCGACTCGTTGCTGCAGCGGCTCTTGCATTTCCCTTGCTGTGCCTGGGTTAAACTGCAGTCTTCTCGGTCACCTTTGAATGCCGCGCATGTCCATCGTACGCACTCGCAAATCATGCCACTGGACGTGTGCACATGTTGACCGGAAAACCCTGTGAGTGCACCAGGTGTTTGGTGTTTCATTTGGAATCATTGGTGTATAGTGCACCACGGTGGACCAGGTTGCAAGACTACCTATGATGGCAGTTCAAGATTTTGTCAGGATATGCGTGTGTTTATCATGCAATATCAAGTATCTTACTCGCCAGCTGTTTTTTCTCCTTTGGCCAACGTTCGGAATGCGACGTTGCCAGACACTCACTGAAATTTCAGCCAGCGGCTTGCTGCGCGTCCGGCCTTTGCTCGAAGATACAGAAAGGCTCCCTCCTATCACCACATCAGTGCTTCCAACCAAGTCAGTTTAGCAGCTCGTGCTGGCGACACCAAATTCCCAGTGCAGCGAGGGATGGATCCCTTGTCGAAAGTTTGCACCTCGGGATGGAAGCCCTGATAGATATCCAAGCGGCATGGAGGTGTGCCCTGTCAGCGCCAGCGTTGTTTGTCTTTTTCCTATTTGTGTTGTTTCTCTTGTGCTGCGCATCCTGTGACCGTGCGGACGCTGACCCCTCTTCGTCCGCGTGGCTGCCGATCCACGGCCTGCTTCGTTTTGCACGAACTGCTGGCCTCTCAGCACCCGACGAGTTCAAACGTTCAGTTCTTCCGAGACCTTGTTTCTTGGTTGAGCGGAAATGATGGAACCTCACAATTTATGGAAGCTTTGTTTAGTCGTGGTTTCACCTTCAGATTCTCACGCCGCCGCAGGCGGTGTCGTGGAATTGAGCTGCTCCCGGCCCTTCACACGGCAGCTCTGCAGACGAAAGCGCGCCTCCCGGAGGCCAAAGCCACAGCAAGGATCAGGGTAGCTTCTTCAGATATGCACCTGCAGGTTCTACACATGAATAGATGGTTGCGAATATCAATTAAGAAGAAGACGGTGATGCTGATGATGAAGATGAAGAAGAATTTGATGATGATGGTGCCGGGAACGTTCCTGGATTAGGGCCGGACCTAGGTCTTCTTCTTACCGCCCGCCCTTTCACACTTGAAACGAGTGTGTGAAGAGATGATGCAAGTGGGTGAATCATATCCTTGGCCAGGGAGTTTAGCGCAGAGCTGTGCGTGAGAGAGTTTTGCATGTCTTTCGGTGAGTGCCCCTCGGGCACAACACGGACATGTCTGGGATGCGGCCTGAATAATTCTGCCGGCAGCTGCGACCCAAAGACTAACGGAGTTTTTTTTTGTCATCCCTAATTCCCTTGTAGCATCACAGCCTCCTGTGGAGGCTTGAAGTGATACGAATAGACATGCCCTGTGTTGTGAATGCATGCATGCATTCTGTTTTCATGTCACACACACAGATATATATATATATATACATGTGTGTATATATATATATATACATATGCATGCACATATGTATGCCTGTGTGCGTGCATCCATGCATGCATGTGCGTAAGAACTTAAGGGCAGTGCGTGCATCTTCCTAGGGTGCGCACGGTAGATGTTCGATCTTGTGTATTTTTCCAAGTAGCTGAGACGGCGCAGGCCTCACTGGAGCTGGTGCTTGGAGACATTCTGCACGAGGAGCGCCGGTGGTGGTTGCACTTTGGGGCAGGTTTGTGAGCAATGCGACGACGAACAGTGGCTAGTGCGGACATCACGGTAAGGCCTCGTCAGAGATGCGGCTGGCCCCTGCAGTCGAAGCTTCTTGAAATCTTTTGTTGACAAGTAACTATTTTGTGTTCAGGGTCATCGAAATCATCGAACCACTCAGGGACCCACCCCACTGCTTTTCTCCTGCTCCCAAGCAGCCCAAGCAGCAGGTATTGGCATTCTGGGTTTTCGATCGGATGTGGTTTATGCAGAGGGGGAGGCCCACATCAAGCTGTCTGATTCGTGTTCGCACGTAATGGGTCGGGACGAATCCTTGCAGAGGACTGGTCCGATGCCAGCATCGTTGTTGCCATGTCTCTCTGCTTCCCGGCAGAGATGATGAAGGCGCTGTGTTTCGCATGTTTCAGCCACGAGTAGGGGCTCTACATCGAACATTGGGACCCACATTTTCCCTGAGGCCCTCGAGGCCAAGTTCGCGTTGCTACGTCCTGGAAGCCGGGTTGTGCTGATGCGCCTTGGCACAAAGCGGCCGGCCGATCCGCTTCCTTTGCCATGTTTGCAACGAGGGATCGCCTTCCCTTCAAACCTTCAGGAACTGCTTTCTGGAGTCTGACCTCTCTGGTCTCGCACCGCTGTGTCTTGACAAAGCCAACGTGACTTGGACACGCTTCAAGTTTGGGGCTTTGTGACTCTCCCTCCTGTGTGGAAAAGATCTCCGAAACTAGATTCAGAACTCCGACGTCCGACATGATCCTATATACTTCCTTCGCCTTGAAGCCATAGGCCCTAATCCCTTAAGCCTTCAACAGAGCTCAGGAGCCTGCGCATGCTGTGCGCCTTGAGCGACCCAGCAAATAGTGGCTCGCGGTTCATCTTCGATATCTTGACATTCGGGCCATCAAGAGATCACTGCCATGCCTCTAGGAGCACGGCAGCTGGGGCCAGATTCTGTAAGTTTGGTGCCGACAAGACTCATTGAAGTTTGAGACTTTCTGCGGGCATGGCTCAACCCACCACGACTAGCGCCCTCAGTGTCTTCTTGTAGGGCATGATTCTGACGAGCAAGCCAGCCACGCTTTTCGGCATGGTGCATCCGAGGATGTCCTTTGGCGAGACTCCGCTGTACGTTTTCGAGCGAGTTGGCCAAGACAGGCAGATGAACCGTGCGGCCTAGGGGTATTGCTGGAGTCGTCTTAAAACCTACAAGACCAGCCGGCAGACGGTACTCTCTCCACCTGGCCTCGATGGGAGCACTCCCGGTGGAATGCTGCTTGGTTCGTTCGCCATGTCCGTGTCAGGAATGTTAGAGTCCAGAACCTGGAAACCTGGAGAGGGGCTGAAGGACATGGCTAGAAATCCTGCCTGTGGCACCGACTGGCCAGGGTACTGGTGGACCTGGCGGCCCTGGATTGAGGCCCCAAAGCACGAAGGTTTTCGAGTTTCTCACAGATGGCCCAAAGAAGGCCGCTGACTAGGCCTCCGCCAAGGAGCCGCAACACATGTCCTCTGTGGCAAAATGAACGCAGCAGCGATTGAACTGCGTGAGGGGAGGGGGACCGAAGTTTCTTAACCCTACACTTCGTCAACTGCTGCTCCACAACGGAGGCACCTCGCCTTAGAACGAATATCTGTGATCTCTGTGATCCAACTCCGGAATGCTGAAGTGCGATCTTCGTCACGGCAAGCAGACTTCGCCATCGGGCATTTTTTGATTGTGGTTTTTGGATTCATCTGTCTGCAAAGCTACGATTCTCGGCGCACTTCCGTCCAAGGTCTGACTCCTGCAGATGTCGCGGCAAGTTCCGGAGGCTCAAGCGCATGCGACAGACATTCGAAGTCAGGGTCCAGGGGCAATTCCTTCGGCTGCGGCTTCAGCCTCCCAACTTTTTTCGCGGTTGCACTTGGAAGTAGTGCGCGCTTGAGTATTATTTTGTGAGTTCTGCAGCCTACCGCTGACATGCGATCAGATTACGCATCAATCAGTGTATGATGTGCATGACATGCACAGTAAATATGCAATATACACATGAATGATTCAGTGATTTAACGAATGTATGAATGAATGTATGCATCTATGTATCTATGTATGTATGTATGTATGTATCTATCTATGTATCTATGTATCTATGTATCTATGTATCTATGTATTATGTATGTGCGAAAGTCATGCCTATGTTTCGGAGTTGACAAGAGAAATCACATGCACATTGTGTGTCGAATGTGATGGCGGCCACTTACCTCAAAGGTCCCCTTTATCTTTCCGAGATCCTTAGAGTTCTGCGATGGAAAACCGGAGTTGATTGCAGCCACCTGGGAGTCTTGAGCTCACAG